ATCGCCAACCGAGCTTTATTAAGGTAGACTTCTCTAGGTGCCACAACGAAGCCTCCTTCCTTGTCGGAGACCAGCAGGTTTAAGTTGTTTTCTCGGAAATGGTCAACAACCCGAGATACGTTCAATTTTCTTTCACATGGTGGGCCTGCTCTCAATACTACGTCCACGCAGTCTGCTACGCATCTCGTTCTATCATTTTCTTGGGCTTTTGAAGCGATGTCGTGGATGTTAGACACCATATACACTCCTTGCTGTTTCGGCTCTGTGCAAAATTTAGGGCCTTTTTCAAGCACCTTGCGTATATTTTCTGGAAGAGGTTCTCCACCCAACAGGGTGACAGACTCACCCTTGGGCTGCGTCTTAGGTGAACGTAGGCTTTTCAGATGAGGGACGTAAGATCCCCACAGGAATTCAGTCATCTGTCTGGCCGTGTTCAAGAAGGTCCTGCATCTGGATCCGCCACCTTTGTCATTGGGGTTTCCACACCCAGCAATAACGCTGAGGCAATACCTGTAAAACCGCACTTGTCGCCACATTTCAGACCTTAGGATCTTGCACATCCTCTTGTTATGTTGCATGGATGGTCTTGCATATCCGCTTCCAGTGTGAATGAGCGTTCGGATCCGCTTCCAGTGTGAATGAGCGGTTAGACTCGACCTCTCATCTGTTGTCTGCAGCTCTACTTTTTCACTTTCGGCGGCCGCGTCTCATGGCTATCTGCCAGGCTTTATAAGTATAGAGGAGGCTATAACTCAGGATCCCAGGGGGGCTATGTTGCGCTTTTTGCACTCCCAGGAGACTAGGGAGACGGAAGTGATGTCAACAACCCAGCGAATGCAGATTGGATGTTGATTTTGTTTTCTTCTGTCAACATCCAATCTGCATTTGCTCTAGTCGTTGACGTCACTTCCTTCTTCCAAGTCTCCTGGGAGTGCAAAAAGCTCAACATAGCACCCCTGGGTTCTGCGCAGCGCGAGCTTTCGCCCCACGGTCTCCAAGCTGTGGTGCGCTATTGGCGACGTGGAAGGCCAATCACAGCGTCGCTATCGGCCTTCAAGATGGGCCCAATGCTGACTACGACGTCAGCAAAGGATTTCTCTTCGACAGAAATAAGAGGAATGGAAGAACTTCAATTTTGGCGGTGTTCGCAGCGTCGGTTTCAGAGCGCAATGATTCCAAGCTTCCACCATGCTGATTACAAACACCATCGAACTTGTTGTTCGCAAGGAAATGACGTCACGAGGTTAACCATAGGAGGGCGCCACCAAAACATCTCGCCTCTAATGCTCCGCTCATCCTTAAAGGGATACTGAACCGAAATTGGAATTTCGCAAAGTAAGGCAGCAGAAGTGTTGGACCGGACGCTACGAACTCCAAAACATCACTCGTAGATCGATATCTCACACGGATGGCCGTACTTTTGGAAAAGAAGGGCGCGATCAAGCAAGTTCTTTGACGTAACTGTCCTCCGGGAGAATTTGAGAATGAGGAGAAGCGGCCTCGCTTCTCTCCTCGCTTCGGTTCACCAGCTTGACGGAACGTAGCGAGGAAAAGAGAGAATGGGTATCGTGATGTGCCTTGTCTCGTCGGCCTCGTCGGCCAGGTTCAATCGCGCACTTCTTTCCCGAAAAATACGGCGATCCGTTAGATATATCGCCGTATGAGCGATATTTTTTGGTTTTGCAGCTTCCCGCCTATCTGCCCGGCCTTGTTTAGTGAGCTCGAAATTTCGGTTCAGTATCCCTTAAGCTGATACTGCAGCCAATGCTACAAGCATGACTGCACGAGATCGAGGCTTTTGAAATGTTCTTCTGCAGAACGAGCGCTCGCGCTTGAAAGGCACGTCTCAAAGGCAGGAGCGCGGGGCAGCTCGCGCTTGTAGCTTTTGCTGTAGTCTTAGCTGAAAGGCGAAGGGCGATTGCAAGCAAGGCCACCGGCCGCCACCATGCCTCTGTTCAGACGGACAAGTTCGTGCAATTTCAATCTTTTCAAAGCCATGTTCACGCGCAAGTTGCACGTGCTTGCACTCTTGGGGCACCAGTCGTGACACCATGCTTGCATTGTCTATACACCTTTTCCCACAAGGGCGTAGCCATCATGAATGTCGTCACTTCCGGTAGGCGGCAAAACATCGTTTTGGTCTCTCCACGCCGCTGGAAGTTGTTTACGAAAAATGCGTGATTGTCACACATTCTTGTTTTGCCTCACCTATATTTTCTCGCATATTCCAGGTTGAAATGTTTTATTATTTTTTCGTCCCGCATACCAGATACGGAACCCACGTGACTGAAAACGATAGGAAACAGAAAACGTGTACAGCACTCTCAGCCGTACACGTGTTGCCTAGTCTCAGTGTCATTTAGAGGTAAAATATTAGAAGCACAGTTCAATCAAAAAGCAACAATAACCTTGAGGGAGGGAAAAAAGGTGATCCTCAAATCTGTTGAAACAAAGCCTGTACAAGGTCTGTCCACCCATGTTGACAAAAAGCGTATTAAGGCCGATATCAACAAATATTCATCGCAATGTCCATACAACTTTTACGAGCTGCAATCTATTAACTTCTGTGTCAACAAATGCTATACATGTTTACGCATGTTTCTAAAATGTACATTACAAATAGGCAGTAAAAACCTGATGCCATGTTTCTGGAAAAAAAAAGAGTCTGTTTAGTTAATATGAACAAATATATTGATAAAAAAAAATGGCCCGGTGAAACGTTGCCGAAGTCGTTACGACGTCGAAAATATTTCTATACACTGTCCGAATGTTTCGTATGTAAGGGCATGCAGTTGCAGTCATCAGAGCCATAGATAGGGGAAGAGGCTGGCCAAGGGGCGTGGCCTCCTTGACAGCTCGTCATCCACGTGACTGACACGTCACATGAACGCCATGGGCACACCCCAGTTCGCCATCTTCGAGCCGGGCAGACTCCAGGGACCTATAACTGCGTGCTTGAATCTCGGTTTCCTTAAAAGTAGGACCGTTTGATTCTGTTTTAACTCAACCGCTAGCAGTATTTATGCTGTTCGTGTTTATTCAGTAGCTCCAGTAAGTTAGTTCCCGCCTACCTTGTCAATTCTCCTTTCATTCGCGCAGCGGCAACAGCCCGTTCCTACGCATAGCATAGCATGTGCTCGATGTGTCGCGCAAACTTCGATTTGTTCAGTTTTAGTTCATTTCTTTTGTTATTCAGCGGGGCACATAACTGACTACTAATTCGCAGCTGGCGAACTTTCGGTAGAATATTACGGTCGGCGAAGGTAAACAGGTCGTCAGTGGATTGCAGGATACGGTCGTCACCCGAGAACTTCTCGGGTGCACCCATTTTTTTTTTTCTTAGACAATTGTCCGTTACGATGTAAAAGGAACTCAAGCCATTCAACCCAAATGTTTGTTTTACGAAACTCAGTTTTTCATCTTTTTTTTTATTACTTATTTGTCAGCGTCTCAAATAAGATTGCTTTCTCGAGGCGAGGCTCCTGATTTTCGCGCCGAGAAGCTCGCTATGGGCGCTTCTGTTTTCCTCACTGTGGGTAGTGCCTGTGCTACCCACGTGTCGGAAGTTGAAGTAACCTCACTCTGGGTTGCGAAAACATTCTTCCAGGCTGCAATACCCAAACTTCTCGACGCGAATAGGATTATCAGGCCGTGCATGCCTACCGCGAGCGTCAACCGAGATCTTTCACCAACGAGACACCGATCTTTTTTTCTTCACATCGTTGAGGAAGCCGGATGGTTAAGTAAACTTCGAGCGGCTGAGCGTTAGACGACTGTACGCGAATAGTAAGATACAGCTCTTTTTGAAATAATCTATATAAATTAAATTAATTTGTCATTGTTTAAGTTGAAAAAATTAACCAAAGACAAAAATAAACAAACTCACATTTCAATGCGTAAAATTACATTGATTGGAAGCCATCAATTAATGTTTCGATCAATTAATTTTATGGTGTGGGAAGAGAGACAGGGAAAATAAGCTGCGCAGCGTGTAGCATAGGACGTCCCCGTTTTCCGCTGCATTTATTCACATTATGGTCCTGACCAGGGCAAGATCAGCATCGTAACTTCATGCGCAAGCAGCTCTTTCAAGAACTTATGTCACGAGACCGAAGCTACTAACCATTCTTTAGAAACCCGTACCCGTGTTATCGCAGCTTTGAGGACAGCCATGTTCCGTAAATAGAATTTTTATATCAAAACAAAAATTCCTTCATCTCAAAGTCCGGAACCTGCCGTGGATGTCCACTTGATTTTCACAAACTATTTATATTTTGATTTCGTTTTTAAATTTTTGGGTTATATATCCTTTTATTTTTATTTCTGGGTCATACGAAGAGGTAGACCTTGACGGCTGCGGTTGGAGCATTCAACGGCACGACACCCGACAACTGTTGAACCAGATACCTCAAAGCGTTGAACTCGGTACACGGAATACCATGTGGCCCGGCATGCGCACGCATGAGGAGTGGAATCAGTGATGGCGAGCAGGTGCGCGTTGTTCGCACGGCATCCGCCGTTGCAAGGCGGTTGCTTGACTTGCGAGAGGAGCCAAGAGGCAGCAAGAGGTCACATAAAGCAATAGATGGCCAAACTGTCCCCCTATCTGTGGCTCTGGTACTGACTAAAGCCGTACTGACTCGACTCCAGCGCCATCTTCAGCCACTTTCCTCCTTTCACTGCAAACAGATTGTTTTGCCCACCGTTAGAAATGACCTTTTTTTTTGCAATGGATACGAATGGTTTTCCGCATTAAAACTATGCAGTATATGTGGAGGCGCATAAGCGCGTAAAGAGGACTGGTAACCTGCAGTATCCAATGCACGTGCGGAAATCTCTTTTTTTTTTTTTTTTTGCAAATGCCTTAGTGATCATTTTGGATCCGCATGTAACTGTCCACGATTCACAACGACGGACTGTTTTCGTATTCAGTAGTGAACTATGAGTCAACTAAACATGCGAACCTTCTTGGCTATTTTTTTTGTCTAGTGTTCAGGATTGTCTAAATAATGTTGCTAGTAGTTACAGCAGGAACATCATGACGTGTTCCAGCCACGATCTGCGTCGACCTGCCGCGCAAGTTCTCTCCAGTGCTTCACGAAGCGTCGAAACCTCTCCGCGCACAGTGTCGTTCCCACACTTTGAAGGTTCCTTTCAAGGACGTCCACGAAGTTCCGCTCCAGGCTTGTTCCCAGTTCGTACTGCGTGATAATGCATCCGTATTCAGACACCCGAGCTCTCGTTGGCGTTCCAGACCGCGCGACCTAACAGAGCGCATGAATGACCTACCTGCTGCATTGCCGAGCCGATGGCACCGTAAGCTTTCTCTTTCAGCGGATCAAAGAAGGTGTTCTCTGTGCCGTGCACGATTGCCGGTATCTCGTCCTGGCAGGCCAACTTTGACCAGCAGACTCCGTGTATGAAGTTCCATCGGCAGGGACCCACGAGAACCCTGTCAGGGTGGTCGTGGAGCACGATGTTGAAGAGGTCCTGGTCCCTGTACTCGAGGTCATTGCGGTACTCGTCTGCCAGGCCCACCAGGCGAGCCTCAAGGCCGAATTCACGCATCCGTGTCAGGTTCATCAGCATCACACCGGAGTTGAGACCTGTACATCATGGTCGTAGTTAAAGGGGCCGTATAAAGATTTTCAATTGGAATGTCTTTCATTTTACACGAGCTTACTGGCACTAAGGGGACTCAAGGATACTCGCGCTCAACGCCACTGGCGAAGAAGCTCCTTTGTTGCGGCGTAAACTCAAGAAAAAAGCGAGCGTCTTCATTCAATCTCTCTTTCGCAAACCTTGGTGATGTAGCTGGGCGGTCGCAGCACCGCCTACTGACAATATTCGAATGCGACTCATAGATTGGACCCGAGCACTGCGTGGACACTCGATTTGGGCTCGTGATAGTCATCAAAAAGGAGGAGGCAAGCCGCGAATGAGCCTTCCTCGGCATTATCAGATAGTGGGGTCCCGATCCCTTGTTATCATCTACGGTCATCGACTTATCTCAGCTAGGAGTGCGCTATGACGAGGCTGCGCGTAAAACGCGCCAATCAAACCTTTTTTTTTTTTTTTTTTTTTTTGCTTCCGCGATGCTGATAAAGAGTTTTGGGCTCAATCTGAAAAAAATGAGAATCGCTATCAAGCAGCTCCGGTGCAGCGTCAGACTTGGCTACTGCGCAACGGAGGCGCACAGCTGGGCACGCGGCGGCGCCAATGCGTCTGCCGCGGCTATGACGTCACTCCTCTAGAATGCGCTGACCGGTGAGGCGCGCGCGGCGGCGGCGGCGGCGGCGGCGCGCCCGCTGTGCACCGTGTGGCGTCACTGCTCCTCGCGCATGCGCAGCACGGCTCTCCAGGAGCCACGCGAAACTGCTCAACCTTGGCCAGTGTAGCTCACACTACAAAAACTGTCCTTGAGGTGTGCCTAGAGAAATTGAATTTAGGACTTGCCCATAAGTGATCATAAAGCAGTGATTACTTCAGTCACAAAGAATTAAATAAAGACAAACAAAGTCGTGTACGTGTCTTAATTGCAATAATATGTAAATCGTATATATGTCGTATAGTTGTCGTAAAGTTGTAAAGATAACAGCTTTGCTGATCCTCCATTTTCACGTGAAGTGGTTGGGCTCTACAATTTTGTGAATGATATAATCCTGGCATGGATCAGCAATACCGGCCATTATTGTTGAACTCATGTTTTCAGGAAGCCAATGCGCGTCAATGTCAACATTACCTAACCCCAAAAGCTCACCGAAAAAAAGCTCACCTTTTTTTTTCACAGACCCGATCAAAAACTTGCCTGTTGTTGTTGTTGTTGTTGTTTCTGTTGTTGCTGTTGTTGTTATTTTATCTACTCGAGCGAAAGACGGGCTGAAATAAAATGCGGACGCGATGGACGTTGCACAATTTTTAGGAGAGCGGCTACACCATCTCATGCAATGGTATCGAAAAGTAAGGAATAACAGGTACGGAAGCAACGGTTTGGGACCAAAATTTAGGTCACCAAAATTGAGTGGAGTTGATAAGATCAAGCTTGGTTGACTCAAGGTACGCCTGAGCACCCTTTCGCCGCGCACAAGAAACTTCGTGAACCGAAGTTTTTTTTAAACCGAAAGGTGACCTCGCTTCTTCATTGTGCTTGTGTCACTCTAGACGAGCACATAAAGGTTAAGCACAATGTCTCTTCCCTAATAAATGGGTATTCTTAGGGTTTAGAGAAATACTTGAAGTGAATGGCTAAGTAAATTACATTGTTTCCGCCATTGTGCGTCGTAAATATATGTGAAATCAAGGATTTTCTAAGGGTGATGGGAAAGGGAAACTGAAGCCAAACTGTCTTCTACAAACCATGGAATTGCGAATTTTTTAAAAGTAGTTTGCAGGTACGGGAGTTAAGCCTTTTGGACAAGTAAAAGACTGACGACAAATTAAAAAAAAAAAAAAGAAAACTGTGCAAGATGTTGGACGGGCTGGAGTTGTTTCCACCACAGCTTGTGCCCGAAGGACCGACCTACATTAAGGAAAAGTCTACCGGTGACGTTAGCGACCTGCCGGACTACCATGATTGCACATATGTCACCGGCCCGTTCCATAATACTTCTGTTCCTTCTGCTGCGGAACGTTAAGCGAATTCTTCGCTTTGCCTGCTTGTGCGCCGACGACAACCGGAGTTTTCCCCGGAACGGTAGATATGTACGACACCATGCTACAATATGAAGACCGGACGAACAACGCCTGCGAAGGATGGAATAACGGGTTCCAGAAGCATGTCGGCCACGCTCATCCAAGCGTCAGGAGGCTGATTGAATGCCTACAGCAGGGGTGGACAGGTTGACCCAGCCTAAGAGCCGCAAACGAAACCACGAAACTTCCAAGAGCTGCGGTGAAAGGAGGGGGGGGGGGGGGAGGGATTTTGTTTTGGGCAATAAACGAAACTCGAACTACTTTTAATCTATCCCAGACAAAAACAGTCCATGTGTACCTAAGGTAGCAGTAGCACAAGACCACCGAACCGCAACCTGTCTTTCGATTTAAAACGCGTTCCGTTTCTCTTTGAGAAAGTGCTCGTGTAACCGGAAGGGAGGCGAGGCGGGGCGGGGGAGGGGGCGGGGGAGGGGGGGGGGGGGGTTAGGGGGGGGGGAGCCGAGAGCCGCACTTCACCACGCGAAGAGCCGCAGCTTGGCCACCCCTGGCCTACATACACCAAGATCAGGCGCTCATTGCCAGGCATTGACACAAGCCCGGTGAGGTGAGTCCCCAGTGAAGCTGGTGCGAAAAACCACCCTGTGACTGCAGAGCCGTCTGAAAAATATTTGCGAGGGGTTTCAGGTACACCGAGATCTACCAATTCTGCTGGAGGCAGTAGGGGACTGCATTCGCTTCGAACCAGACGATAAATAAACTTTTTAGAGCGCAGCTTTTAGGCGCCAGCTTCCGGCTTGAGCTGCGTCACTGTCGGCGTAACCGCGCGGTGCATTATGGGAAATGTTTCATAATGCACCGCGCGGGACCCTCGTGGCGTCACTCGTGACGTCACGTGTGACGTCACGAGGGTCCCGCGCGGTGGATTATGGAGCATTTCCCATGATGCAACGTGCGGGGAGGAGGGGGGAGGACGAGGGGGAGGGGAGGAGGAGGGAGAGGAGAAGATAAAGGGAAAGAGGATGGAGTTGGAGGAGGAAGAAGAGGGGAGGGGGATGACGAGGAGAGGGAGGAGGAGAGGAGGAGGAGAGCAGCTTGAGGGATGAGGGAAGGAGCAGGAGGGGAGGAGGACGAGGAGGAGTATCAGAGAGGATGAGGAGGTGGGAGGAGGGGTATGCCCTCCCCTCAGTACCCTTTCCTCCTCCTCCTCAAGAGCTGCGCTCTAATTCGGCGTTACAGGGTGTTGTAAAGGTCTTTCATTTTTTTCCACTCTAATTAACAAGCCACGTACCTGTTCAATTTAATTTATCGTAGCATATTTTGGGTCGCACGCAAGCAACCAAGTTGTCCGCACTCGTGTTAAGACCAACATGAAATATTCTCCTGGTGAGCTTTTGTCCGGGTTTGTGAAAAAATGAGCAAGCCTTTGGCGGTTGAGGTTTTGCCCAGCGGCGTATATCCGATCGCCTAAACCCCCCACGCGGCGAGGGAAAAACGAGGGAGAGGAGGGTACTGTAGCAACGATAGACACCCCAGCAATGGCGCTCACGCCGGATTGGCTGCTCGGCAACGCGCGGGAACTTGGATTTCGGAATTGGACCGCGCGTCTATCACTGGGGGATCGTGTTAACCCATCCCCTCGCCTGAGTTCACGCTGCTTCGCGGCGCGGCTGCTCATTACAGAACTATTATCCTACTTGAGCCCCCCCCCCCCCCCCCCATACACGCTATCCCCCATGCACCTGGGGAAAGGGAGTCCCATACCATTTAGTTCGGCCAAGTTTCGTCGACAACACTCGTTTTTCTTCAGTGTTAATCGTAGAAAGGGAATTTCGTATATATCACGAAATGCCTCAACAAAATAAAATGTTTCAGAAAAAAAATTAAAGCCGTTCACAACTCCCTGTAACGCCAAATTAGGGCGCAGCTCTTGAGGAGGGGAGGGTACGGAGAGACGGCATGCCCCTCCTCCTCATCCGTACCCTCTCCTCCTTCCTCTTCATCTTCTCCTCCCGTGCTCCTCGCCTCCTCCCCCTCTTCTCCTCCCCCTCATCCTCCTCCCTCCCCCGCGGTGCATTATGGGACGTTTCCCATAACGTACCGCGCGGTTACGCCGACACCTGTGCGTTAACGCGTCGCGCCTATGCGCTACGCCGACGCGTTACGGTTACGGTGACGCCGACGCGTCACGCCGATGCGTTACTGTTTTGGCGACACTGACGCGTTACGCCGATGCGTTACGCCGACGCGTTATGATTATGGCGACGTCGACGCTTCATGCCGATGCGTTACGGGTTACGCCGATGGGGACGGCGACGCTGCTCAAGCCGGAAACTAGCGCCGAAGAGCTGCGCTCTAAAAAAAAAAAGTAATCCCACACTGGATCGAACCGGGGTCCGCTGCGTATGACGCAGACACCTTACCACTAAGCTACGCTATCGCTTCGGAAAATCGTTGTAACCGCTGCCTATGTTGACGGCGGCAGCGTCTATCTCCAGAAGCCAGCCAATACGGCGTGAGCGACGTTGCTAGGGTGTCTGTCGTTGCTAGCAGTCCTCCTCTCCCTCTTTTTTCCCCTCGCCGCGTTGGGGGTCTACGCGATCGAATACACGCTGCCAAGTGAGCTTCTCTCCGGTGAGCTTTTGTCCGGGATTCAATTCTTCCAATGGTGCCCACGCGTCCACGTACCGTAGCGTCCGTAGCGAGGCATCTTCCGTTGTCTGTGGAAGTACAGGCTGAGGGACGGGTCCTCCACATCGGAAACCATGAAGGTCAGCTGCTGGTCGTTCATCTCGCCGAAGTACTTCCAAAGATCTTCGACGGGGTGGAGGAACATGATGTCGGAGTCGACGTATAGCACCGCGTCTTCTTTGGGGAGCACGCTCTGCGGAACAGCAACGTATGCTACACAAGCCATCATGGCGCAGGTGCATTTACTCAATTTCAGTTCCACAGTACACACTTTGTACCGCTGTTTTGTTATAGCCTGTTTACTAGAGCTATAAGCACCTCCTTCTGACCAGTGACAAAAAAAAAAAGAAAGAAAGAAGCTTTTTGGCAACTTTGAGTAATTTTTTCACGGTATCAAGTGTTCACAAATAGTTTTCCTTCTGACCAGTTGGCTGCATGCTCTCAAGCGAACAATATAAAGCTCCTTGATATACGCATAACTCACGCTTCACGTGTCCTAAAAGTACTGACGACAACCGTTGTGCGAACGGACATGACACGTGACACGAGCGACTCCCAAACCTCTATTCGCTTCCAAGGGATGCTAATTTCAGTGCTGCGCCGTCTACGGCTGTACGGGGCGCAGGCCTCACACACTGACGCATTAAGCTCTACTTCTAAAAAGAACACAAACACATGAAGGGGCTTTAATCCATACCCTTGCATCATGCCACCACTATTTGTCATCTTAGAACCAGAAAATCCGAGAAGACAAGGAGACCACGCCGCCTTGTCTTCTCGGAGTTTCCTCACTGTCACATGCATGCATCGAAACAGAATGGATCCGATCAGAGGTTTCTCGAAGGCATACGCCGCCGTGTAGAATGCGGTACGACGCTTGCTGGCACGTGGTGCGTGCCAGTAATGTGCCCTCATGCATACCATTCCAATTTACAAGTCCTCAGCCTGAAGCGTGCGCCCTCCCGAGTACACCACACGCATGATTGTCGTTTCGGAAAGCGAGCAGTCACGCACACAAACACAGAAAATGGAACCGGCCAGGAGCCCTTCTTTGCACAGGGTCTATACGTACCGGTAGGAACATCCGCTGGTAGTCGCACCGCTTAAAAATATCTGGGCGCTTCGGAATGCGGACGAGACGAAGCTCGTAGTCGACTCGCTCCAGGAATATGGCTGGCCATCCCTGGATCTGCGTAGGAACGCCACGCGTGGGTCACGTGGTTGCCTCTCCGCATACAACCAACGGTGCGTTTTAGCCCGCCCCTTCGCTAAAGCCAACCAGGTAGCACCAAAAGTGCACTGTCACGGTGCTGGTCGTTCTCGTGACCGGCTAAACCGATTACGAACAGAAAGAAGCGCAGGATCGCCGGACATTCAGGTGCCTCAATGGTTTAGTCGGTGATGGCAAACGCACAAAGATGACCAGGCGTCGTGACAATGCATATTTTTGCGCTGTTTGTTTGGTCCACTTGAATTGTATCCCGAGCAAAAGTTCCTCTGCTTCTTGCATAAGGGTTTCGATGATGTCAGAACGCCAAGCTCATATTGGCTGATTGAAAAAAAAAAAAAATAGTGGGTAGACAATTAGGCGTCTAGCCTTGAGGTATACCAATCATCTCTTCAATCAAGGCCAATCAGACCTCGGCGTCGTTCTGACGTCATCGCAACTCCTAGACAAGAAGCAGACGAATTTCTTTCCACATACCGTCAACTGCGGCCGGACTTCAGGCGAGACGAAGAATAAAGATGTTTTTGCAGCACCCCTTGTGCCTAAAAGGGTGCTGGCTGCCGGTAGGGTTTTCAAGTAGAACCTATAGCTGCAGTGGTTCTCAACTATTGATGTTTCGCGGACCCCTGGTGGATCGCGGCGGCGATGATGGAGGACCCCGTTCATGGTGAGCAAAGGGAAAGGTATAGGTTAATTATGATAATGACTTAATAATAAATGAATATAACTTAGGGTTAATGGGTAGCAGGCTTCTCTTATTGACATACTCACTGGAAAACTGCTTCGAAAATTGGAACGTTTCTTCTGGATTTGAAAAAAAAAGACAACTTTTATTGCCGAGCTTGCCAAATGAGGCGGGGCTTCGCGGACCCCCATTTGAGAACCACTGCTATAGCCGCTACAGGAACTACCTAAAGTGTTCTACCCCTATTGGGCAATTATGGTGATAACCCTGCAAAAGCTATCAAGTAAAAAAAGAAACATTAGATACGTATTTTGTGGCTACCCCGGGCTACGCTCTCAACGCACGCGTACATTTCTGCAATTAACGTTAATGCACCGCGTATTCCGAAACAACGAATACGAACGTCGTCAAGGACGTGCGACACTAGAGTCAGGTCCTTGGTGGCTGCTCATCCGCGGGATGTATACCCGACCTTTGGAAGTCAACGAATACGACAGGGGACAACCTCAGCAATAGTTACAAACATCTTGTTTTGTCTCATTAATATTTTGCGTGAAACAAGTTCTCGGGATTGACTAAGAGCATCAGCTTGGAAAGGGCATCGGTACAAGCGACACACTTTTTAAACACAGTCGTTCAACAAGCTTCGCTAAGGCGGTTCCAAGCTGGTGTGTATGGGCTGCACTGCACATCATCGCCCCCTCTTCACGAGCTTTCAAAAAGCGTACGGTTAAAGGGGAGATCCTGTGCGAAATAAGAACGCTGAAATGATGCAGCCATAGACCTTCTTCAAAAGTTCATCAAGCAAAGTTAGCGGTCACCATTGCTTCGACACGAAGCGCGTGATTGGATCCGAGTCCTCGCCGAACGCTGACGTCACACTCGTTTTCAATACAAGCCGAGCCGAATTCGCGCCGAAGGCTGACGGAGCCCTCATGTCCAATAGACGCTCAGAGTATGTGATTAAGCAATGGCGAACAGGCGGTGGCGTGAACTTTGGAAAGGGGTCTGATGGCGCAAGTCACCGGGGCACCTTTTGAACTCCCATTATGAGTCTTGGTGCTCGAATCAATGTTTATAAAATGCTCGATGTGATTATCAATACTAGCTGCGAGCACTGCTAACGCGAGAAAACCCGCTTTTTGAGAGCAATGAAGCATTCGCGTATGTTCCGAGGGGATGACGCTGACGACCTGCTTTTCAACTTTCATCGCGAAACCGAAACCAAAAACTTTAAATAAGTCCCCGCCCCCTTCAGTCGAGTGAGTCCTCCCCTCGGGGCAGAATGGAATCGCCCGGAGCGCGCGCAGCGCCGCCAGCCACCGTCTCGGCCACGTGCTCCAGGTGGGACTTTCATATTGCAAGGAACTGTTCATTGATTACTTTGTACTTTATACTCTAGTTCCATATTCTAGAAGCATTAGAGTCACTTGACCTTGGTTTGGTCATAACCTTAACACTATTCGCAACTCCTGAGGAGGTGACGCACCCAGCGGAAAAGACATGAAGGACAGAAGCCTGCAGCTACCGCTTGTCTAAGTGTGGAGCGAAAACTGGCGCGCCCTGTCAGCGGAAATGTGAAACCATAGAGTTATTATAATAAACGCTAGAGGCTCAGCTGGCGCTAGTGTCTATGGGACTTCCGGTTGCAAATTGAAGCAGACAGCATGCAGTCTACTTTTCCAGTCTTCCTGTGTATTCCTATGAGAAAACGCGCGTGAATTTTGTCTCGTCGCCGGAAAATAACATTAATAACTTTTGTTATTTCGGTTGTACCGGATAGTATGTACCTTTATTAATATTGTGAAAGTGTAATTGCTTTAGTTACAGCATTTTACCTGTATCACTGAACTAGTTAAACTTCGCTATATTTCAGGCCCAAACCTCTGTTTTACGGCGGGTATGTAGAAACGAGCGACGATTCCAAGCAAAATAACAATCGAAAGGAATGTAGAGCGTGTTCAAAGTGCGCCAGCATTCCGTTGGTGCTTATATATATTGCTAATATGCCTGTCCTCTCACTATAAGAAAATTCCCCCGCCGTGCATCTTTACGAGTGGTTAGAAAAACGTTCGAAACGTAAATAATAAAGTACGTGGGTCACGAAAGGTGTATTTTCTTATTATTTCCTATGTTGGACAGTTTTTATCGCGCACCTGTTCCCTGGCTTCCCCCTATTTGCAAAGATTTGGAGCGTGCGGGTGATGATTTGAACACAGAACAAGCATCTTCGCATGCATTCATGAGCAGAAAGAATAAAGCAGTACTTATTTATTGCAAATCGGACTATATTACGTGACTTTCAATTTATTTTGATCGTCTGCAAGCACAAGGAGTTACTTATCCAGTGTTACTGCGTAGTTCTTGCCGTCTCTCTTGGTTTTCCACATGTCCTTCCGCCGGCGCCGTGTTCGCGCTAACAGTGTCCGACAGTGCGCATAAATACATGTACGAAGCGGCTTTAGCACCGTTTTTCATGTCACGATTTTAAAATAAAAACGCCGTAACTGACCAATTATTTCATCTGCGTGTCTGAGAAATGTTCCAATGTGCCTAGTAGGTACGAATTATTCGTGATATTTGCTCTTATAATCGAGCGCAGGAAGGAAATGCACTCGCTTTTTTCCGTAGAAATGCATTACCGGAAGTCGATTTCGGACTGCTTGCTGTCTGCTTCAATTGGCAACAGCACACTAGCGCCAGTTGAACCTCTAGCGTACATTATAATAACTCTATGTGTGAAACAGGGCGACGGTAACTAGATACGCACGGTTGGAGTTGCAAATACTGAAAGCTATATTAATTCTGCTCAACAACCCAAAGCCCCCGAGCAAATGGGTCTGGATAATTCCCTGCTAAGGAAAACCATTTCGTGGGAACGTTACCATGTCCTGAAGACGTTGGATGTTATCGACATCAGCGAACAGGATCAGACGAATGTGAGCCGTGGAGAAAGCCAGAACTGATTTCAGGTTGATCATGGTCGTTTCCAAGCGGTTGCCGCAGGTCACCACCACCATTGTAATTGGGCTCCTGCGTTGAAGGCACCCGATGTAAACATTTCTCTCTTTTTTACTTTCACGTAATATCGTTTAGACCTCTTTCTTGACATTCGTAACCTAAAGAAGACGACATTGAAAATTCGTGTTATTATTGCCCTTTGTTTCCTCACCCTCTAAGGTTTAAAGTGACAAAAGCACGGGTTAGTTCGTTATTTTTATTTAGACACACTAACAACCACTTAAAAAGGAAAACTAGTAAACGGGCAGCAACAACTGCCTCAACTCGAAGCCAGAACAAGCGGCGACGTAATCTGGGGCCGATTATATGCCGCAAACGTCTATCATAGCCACGCGCTGAGATGCCAGATCACAGTGCACGCTCTTAATTCCACACATTCTTAAAGGGGCTATGCAACGATATTGGGTAAGAACGTTTCTCACTTTACGCCGGCTTACAGAAACTATACTCCGTTTCACGATAACTTGGCGAACTGGGCCCCCGCAACCCAATAAGAGCGCCAGAGCAAGGCACGTCATAACGCTCCATGATCCAGCCAAGGGGGCCTCGTTACCAACTACAGCAACAGCGCCGTCCGCGACAAAAAGTAGTTCTAGGCTCCTTTTTTTTTTTTTTAACGGCAATTGAATTTGCACGATTTTATCTCTGACGAGAAGATACGAAGAATAAAGAATCAACAATCGCAAATTTATGAGTTTCAAATATATTTAAACAAAAACAGTGATGCCGCATCCGTATCCGCTGTAGATTTTTTTCTCCAGCGCCGTGGCCGTTGGCTATCGCCGGCGATCGCAGCCGCGTAATCGGCTGTTTCCTCTCAAAACATAGCACTGTGCCCTGGCATTAGCACCCGTCATGGATTCGCGGCCAAATTGAGCGTATGGTTGTCTCATGAACTGTCCCTGGAGTGCTCGCTCTTCTAGCGAACGGAAATGTTGCTGCGGTGGGAGTTCATTCAAAGTTGGTTCGTTTCGGAGAAGACGACTCATGGCTAGCGGACAAGAGCCGGTTCCTCCGGGCCTCGCATTTATCGTAATATCGCAAAAACTCCCTTCACGTCGGGTCACCTGCCTCGTTCCGACGCTCTTATTGAGCTGCGGGGCCTTCCCATACAAAAATGGTCTATGGTCGGCTATAGAAAATCCTTTGTATGGCCGGCTATAGCAAATTGGCCCAATTAGCTATAGCCGTTTCTATGGCTGTCTATAGCTTTTCCTATGGTCTCCCCTATAGTTGTCTATAGCTTTTTCAATGGAAATTTCGCTATCGAATTCGGTATGGTTTAGTCTATGGGTCTCTTTAGAAAGTATGCTATAGCCGCCTATGGCTTTTCTTTTGGTTTCTTTAGCCGCCTACAGCATTTTGTATGGTCTGCTATAGAGATCTCTATGGCTTACTCTATGGATCTTTTTAGACACCGTGCTATAGCTGCCTATGGCTTTTCCTACGATTTCTTTAGCCGTCTATTGCCCTTTGTACGGTCCGCTATAGCTCATTCTATAGCTCGTCTTATGGTTCTCTATACCCATCGTGCTACAGCTTTCTATAGCATTTCATATGGTCCCTTTAGCCGCCTATAGCATATTGTATGGTTTGCTATAAAGATCTCTATGGCTTACTCTATGGATCTCTTTAGACACCGTGCTATAGCTCCCTATGGCTTTTCCTATGGTTTCTTTAGCCGCCTATTGCTCTTTGTATGGTCCGCTATAGCTCATTCTATAGCTCGTCTTATGGTTCTCTATACCCATCGTGCTACAGCTTTCTATAGCATTTCAAATGGTCCCTTTAGCCGCGCCTATAGCATATTGTATGGTTTGCTATAGAGATCTCTATGGCTTACTCTATGGATCTTTTTAGACACCGTGCTATAGCTCTCTATTGCTTTTCCTATGGTTTCTTCAGCCGTCTATTGCCCTTTGTATGGTCCGCTATAGCTTACTCTATAGCTCGTCTTATGGTTCTCTATATCCATCGTGCTACACCTTTCTATAGCATTTCATATGGTCCCTTTAGCCGCCTATAGCATATTGTATGGTTTGCTATAGAGATCTCTATGGCTTACTCTATGGATCTTTTTAGACACCGTGCTATAGCTACCTATGGCTTTTCCTATGGTTCCTTTAGCCGCCTATTGCTTTTTGTATGGTCCGCTATAGCTCACTCTATAGCTCGTCTTATGGTTCTCTATATCCATCGTGCTACAGCTTTCTATAGCATTTCATATGGTCCCTTTAGCCGCCTATAGCATATTGTATGGTTTGCTATAGAGATCTCTATGGCTTACTCTATGGATCTTTTTAGACACCGTGCTATAGCTGCCTATTGCTTTTCCTATGGTTTCTTCAGCCGTCTATTGCCCTTTGTATGGTCCGCTATAGCTCATTCTATAGCTCGTCTTATGGTTCTCTATACCCACCGTGCCACAGCTAGCTGCCTGTAGTTTTTCTTTTTACCGCAATCGTATGAAATGTGAAACAAATTATTTGTTTTCACTGGACATCTTTAAAAAAAACCTTGTGAGGCGTGCCGAACTTCATAGCCCCATTTAAAACAAAGAGCTAACATTTCAACAAAACAACAACAAAAAACAAATGCACTCACTCAGGTGTTTGCAAAAGCACAGGTAAACAGACGCAAGGTATTGTTTTCAAATCTCCTAGAAGTTTATTACACACAGCCCATTCTGTAGACAAGCACACACTAAGCAATCTCTACTATGTGAAGAGGTACTACTGAGCTGTTATACAACTGAGAATATTGTAAAGCAAACAAGAACCAAAGGCAATTCCTGGGTAGTGTCTAGTCCCCCGGCAGCCGGCCGAATTCCACCCCCCCTCTTCCCCCCGAAATTCTAATGCCAGTCGCCACTCATTGGCGCTGCAATCAGTTTATCAAAAGACGTTTCATCGAGATCGTTTCATCAACACGTGACGTTTATAAACAACTCAAAATATGTTTTTTTTTTGTTTTTTTGTAATGATTTGCCAAGAAGTGGCGTGAACGGGTGGGCTGAGTAGGTGAGCACGCGCCTCAGGAATACAGGCGTGACGAAATGTCCCTGCAGCGTGCAATTCGCGTAACGAGTGCCGACTAAACGTGTGTCCATGAAGCGTCTATCCACGAAAAGGTGTCCATGAAACGTCTTTTCACGAAACGCAGAGAGAATAAGAATGTCAGTATTCTAACTACAATTTTCACATGATTTCAGAGAGCTAATGGCAGGCGACTGCGGTAGAATTACGGGGAAATTATTCTCCCAGCTGTCAGAAGATAGGCCCTGCCAGGATATAGACACTACAGAACGGTCAATTGTCGCCGAGTAGGTTGCAGCGCACTTACGTTCAAAATACCGGACTTGAAAGACGTAATCCGAAATATACGTCGACATGGGCACTGCAGACCAACCACTCAAACACAAAACCGAGAAGGAAGGGATCCGTGAAGATTCACCACGATGTAGCACAAGCTGTCATTTGCCGAACCGAACACTGAACGCATCACAAGAATGTCTTGGGCTTCTTTGACGAAATCGCTTGTTGCCGACACACGGGTAGGACTTTTCCATCGGGACATCTTTTAACATAGAAGCGAAATCCACAGCAGCCCCGCGGGCCGCACGACACGCGAAACTAGGTCCGCAAGCAGCCTCATTCCGGGATTGGCAGCGGCTATTACGTCATCCGTCAAACCACGTGATCACGCTCCTTCCGTTACATGCGCACAGAGAGCGGAGTGAAGCGATAGAAAGTCTACGGTTGATTGGTCCGCCGAGTCCGCACCTTCTGCAATGCTTTTAGCTTAGGGAGAGAGAGAAAACAGAAAAATTGAAAAGCAGAGCTCCTTCAAGGCCAGAACGGGGGTGCGATCACAAAGACTAATCTTCAGGGGCATACCAACAATGAACACAGCGAGAGAATGTGTCACTTATATCCTGTTGACAGTTCGAGCCAAGGTTGATAGTGCAGTGGATGCTATGTGTGGCCTTGGGCTTAAGGCAGGTGCCGTGTCCAGCGTTATCACCAGCTTCGAGACAGTTGTCACGGGACCCTAACCGGAGACATGATTGGCCTCAAACACGCATAGCGTCTACTCTGCTGTCACTACCGAGTGAACAGGACAGCTCCATGAAGGCCCCCCAGCTTTTGGACTTCTTTCTAAAGCTGCACTTCCCAGAAGTGACCCAAAACCAGGCATGTTTGAAGATATTATGTTTTACGCCTTTTAGCCCACATTCTAATTCAAAATGAATAATTAATGGCGAATACTTTTTCTTTGCGCAGGATGTCCACAAACAAACAATTATATAAATAAATACATAAATAAATAAATATATATATATATATATTTTTTTTTTTACCAAGCACTTTTGAATTATGTGTACACTGTTAGGTTCGCACTTTTAAACGTCGATTTTGGGAATCTTTGCATCGTTGTGGCATCTATGATTGCGTGGTTTAAGAAATTTGTGCCGTAATACGTTTTTCATCCGTGAGTTCAGTCTATATCACTGCCATCAATTACAATCTCTGAGCACCATGATGACTCATGGTGGGGATGTGTGTTCCAAGAAGCTCCAATGAGTTTAATGTCTCATAATTTAAAGAAAAAGAAGAAAAATTAGCCACAGCGCTTGCTGATTTGTTGAATTTGCAGAACAAAAAGATAATAGGATAGCGCGTGCCTAATGATATTAATTTTTTTTCGGCTGTTATTTTTGTATATTTCGCCGTTCTCGACATGGGCTTTGACGGACATTGCACCGCTGCTTACGCCCCTGCCGGGGTAAGCTTTCTTGTTGTCACGACACTCTATCGCGCTATAGGCGCGTCGATTTAACGCTCATGAAGTCTCGAGAGAACTGTGAATTGTTTAGTCAGAGCAACGACGCAGCAATCGCGAAATGAGAGACGACTGCGTGGGACTCTCGAGCGTGGGACTCTCGAGCTGCGTTAACTTGCTGATGATGCAGGGCGCTGCTTTGTCGTTGAGATTCTTTGTCCTGCGAACGC